CTCGAACCGCTGAAGCGTCGACCATTTCTGGCCGGCAACTTTCAGCCTCATTAAGCCGCTGTGCCACTGCGTCCCCTTCTCTGAAAGTATGGGCATCATTAAAATGTCTTTTTTTGCTGATCTTACTGCCTGGACATATTTAGGTACTTGTGTTGGGATAATAATGCTTTCAGAATATTTCCAGTTTTCATTTAAGTTTCCTATCTTGGCTTATCGTAGTAGAGAAAATGTTGCTCAGGTTGAATTTTAATTGGAAAAGAATTCAGGTCTCGTTAATACTCATACTTGAAATAATATTATGAGTCCACCTGACAGTAACTTTATCCAATTCTCTGCACAATCCAGGCAAAACCAAAAAATCCTGAACCCTCCAAAATTCAAGCTACCTTCAAACTACTCCTTTACAGACATTAAGTTGAAGATGTCATTTGGTCATCCATAAGCAAAAAAAATGGAATGTTCCCAATTTATTAATTTGGTTGTCAGAGATTCTGTAACTCAGTCAAAAGTGAATGCCACATATCCCTTAATTGTCAAACAGGCTTTGGCTCTAAAGTACAATTTGTTTGACACTGTACTAAATGTCAACAATGTACTAGTAAAGAAATATTCACTCTTTTTCTACCTTCAATTCCGTTACATCTTGTTCCAATTACAGGATCCCATGTGTCTGAAAACACAGGCAGTGAATGTTCAATTTTTTCTGTAACATATGAATTAGTTATTGATTGTGATGCATTTCCAGTATATATCACTGCAAAAGACAAAAAGATAAAAGCAGAAGAGCTAGGCTGAAGTAACAGGAAGGGGGGTGGTTTACATAACTTTTTAATGTTCTTGATATGGTAATCAAGAACAATCAGACAATACTTACTGGGACTGCAGTGACAAAGTATAAAGTTGAAGCAGAGCATATATTTAGCAAAATATATTTTTTAATGCAGCTGGACCAATCTATGTAAACATTTATATACAGATGAAATTTGATTGAAAAGTGAACTGCATGTTTGCTATAAATTCAGAATGTGGTTATAGTAATATTTTAAAAGTCCAGTTTTCCCCTAACTGTTTGTTTTTGTGACATATGTTTCAGGTTGTGGGATGATGGAATCATTGATCCAGCTGATACAAGACTTGTTTTGGGCCTTGGCCTTAGTGCTGCATTCAATGCACCCAGCAAGAAGACAGAGTTTGGCATATTCAGAATGTGATGTGGAAGGGTTAGCAGTGGTATCTTTAGATAAGAAATAAAATCAAATGGCCTAATAAGATCAAGAAACAAAATAAAGATTTGCACAGTAATGCAGTTGGGTTTAATTTTCATGCATCTTAAAAAGAATGATTTAAACTAGCTCTAACATAGTTAAATAGATATAGATGTTAGTATTTGTAATCGACTTAATCACTGGAAATCAGATCCCTCAATTCATATTTTTAAGTGTATTGCATCAATAGAACAAAAAACAAAAACACCCTTCCCCCCTTCAATAAGACATATAAAGTAGAGAATGGAACGAGCAAAAATAAAATACAACAAACAATAATAAATATTTGGAGAGTAATACAGCTCACTTTTTAAACAAATTAAGTCTCCACTACGTAAATCACATTGTTGAGTTTTTTGATAAATACCCAGTTCAAAGGTTAAGAGTGCATATTTTTCAACAAGCCAGCTTTTAGTGTCTGGTGTAGAAATATCTTAAGAAGACATAACAATGTGGGTTTTGTTTTGTTTTTTTGTTTTGGCTACAATCCAGGCATGAATTCATCCAAATGGATGAATTCACAATTAGAACATAGTTTAATAACACATCTTTGAATCCAACTGTCTAATCAAAACCTTATTAACAATATTAAGAGATTCCTTGAAGATTATCTTTGTTAAATTCATCAGTTGCTGATAAAACTGAGCTGTTTGGCATTTAAATAAACTGTCACCTAATAGACTCAAAATTATATGAGTTTCCAGGACCATAAGCTTAGTAGTTGCAATCTGAAGAACATAACATTTTAATTTTAATTTAATTTAATATATTGCTATTTGAGAGGTTACATTCTTTCTGTAACTTATCAAAAAATTAGCAATAAATTGTGTTAATTCCATCTTCAGCTCTTTTTAAATAAGGGTTGAAAATGGGTTAACACAATTTGTTGCTAATTTTTGCAAGAGTTTTGAAGAATTGATCCAGAAAGTTGATCCAATTTTTCATGAGAGCAAAAATCAAACTTTTAATTTCTTTCCAAATATATTTACCTGCCTTTAAATTCACATTGTATAACACATTTTATCTTTGTTCTATTAATTCCAATTTTAATTTAAATCATATAAATTGTTTAGGATTCAGTAATTCACATATCTTTAATATAATTAATCAGCATATGCATATGTATTTTCATAAATTTCATTTAATTAAGATTACTTGTATTGACAGCTGGTACTTAAGACTATGAAACCACTACTTTATGTTGATCTGCAATCATTCTGTCTCAAGAATTTTGATTCCTCTATTTTCTTACCACTGACCTGCTAATACATAGCAATTAATAATGGAGCAGATGGATTCCAGCAAAGATTGTATTTCATTTTGGAATAGTCTTCCTGCAGTGGGAGCTGTTTGATCCTTGCCTTTCTGAGTATCATGCACTTTGTAGGTTGCTGCATAAAAGGCCACCTTTTGTTCCAGAACTGTAAAACTCAGGTGCAATTTAATAAAATGAGAGACAGTATTGGGGGTGGAGAACTGTACCACTCTTCAGGACTATAATATTTTATGTCATTATCTTATCTCTGAAAGTCTGAAAGATAAATCATTCCCATTTTGGAGAGAATCAGAATCAGAAATAATCCTTGTGGATTATTCATCCAATAATGTCTCACTGAGTATTGACATTCAATGATGCGTCAGTTAGTGCAGAAAGACTTTCTATTTCATCATCTAAAAGGCAAATGAACTTGGGAGAAATGTGAAGGAAAAGAATAGGCTAAAAGTGGATTGAACACATTCACATCATAGCATGCTTTAAAATTCTAAAGCATGATATATTATACAACATTTCCTTGCTCAGAAAGGGAGAGACCTTCAACTTTTACTAACACTCCCTTCATAGGCTTGTACCTATCAATTTTTGTCATGCCTTGTCTGCATAACTTTACTTTTGAAACCTGAAAAAGACATGAATACTGTCTGCTAATACAACACTGGGTGATTTGGGCAGCGGGATTGGAAACATTGCATTGGCCTCTGAGGAACCTTTGGGAGTTTGGGCATGTAGGTGGTTTGGAAGGTGGGGCAATTAATAGTCCATCCATTCTGTCTTTCAATCTTTGGGCAAGAAGATAGAGTTGAAATATATTGTTGTCCCCCTGCCCAACGATCCTCACTAGGAAGGCTGCCTTTCTTCTACTAACAGGATAGTGACCCATTCTCCACTGCCTACTGATGCCTGTCAGCTGCATTTCAGAGAGTGGTTGAGGATTGCAGGTTGCCTCATATGTTATATAAAGGCACTTGGGGTTATCAAACAGTAAAATAAAGCACTTCAATTGTTTTGTTAAATGATACATTTTCTGTTGTCTAAGTATATTGCTCTAGGCAAATAATGTCTCATGTAAACATTAGATTGTTCATTTGTTAGTTATAGAGGGTGGACAAACTAGTATATAAAAAAAAAACAGGCTTTTGCTGAAAATTACATTCTTAGGCTGCAAGCATTCCTGCAGAGAGAGGTAATTAAAACCCTCCTTGAGCAAGGCATAATTCGTCAATGATCTTGAGATACAGATAATGAGAAAGGACCAATTTCTACACATTCATACCTTTGAAAATGATAACTTTCACTGATAATTATTATGTGAAAGATACTTGTTTTCGGAAGGAAGGAAGTGGGTTATGAGAAGTTTTGGGATAGTGACAATGCAAAGGAAGGGCTGGAAGTTACCTAATTTAATGGAAAAAGAAAGTAGAATAGGGCTGGTCTGTGGAGAAAAGGGAAAATGCAAAAAGGAGATGTCTCTCCTTGGATGTGACTGTGCCTGCATTTGGAGGCGTGATTCTGGCACACAGCAACATTAATAACCGGGCAGAGTGAATTTGGTATTTTAACACTGCGGGGGTGAGAAATAGTTCGAAAGGAACTCTGAAATCTGAATGAGATAGCTGTAGATATAAATAGATTTCTTATTAGGGGACTGAGTCCACCATATATTTGGGTTCTCAAGCTAATTCATTAGTGTTGCTAATTTGCATTTCTGTGAATTCCAAACATGCCTACCAGCCCAAAAGATTAGACATCCCTAAGGTAAATTTTGAAATTAATCTACGCAAATTTACCTCGAGTTATGTGAACTGGCAGAATTATCAGTTGGAACAAAATTAGGAGTTTTGAGGGGAAACAAAGTTCATTGTTTCTTCACTCTGTGAAAACTAAATCCCAATATTATGTTTCAGTGTAGGCGTATTTCTGACACCTTCCACTTCTGACATCTGCACATTATATCTTGGATAGTTAACTGAAATGCTGATTTAGAAACATTCACATCTAGTTATCTGAATTCTTTTCAAGTAATGGTATCATGTCTTCCTCCAGTCGCTAAGAGAAACAATATATTGAAACAAAATCTGGACAAACCAGAGCTGCTTATTGTAGGGAGTCACAATTCCAGGAATGTTGTCGATCTCCCTGTTCTGAAGAGGATCACATTCCCCCAGAAGGACCAGGTACGCAGTTAGGGACACCTCTGAATCCAATTTTTTATCTTGCTTTCCAGTTTGAAGCAACAGCTTGGAGTTCCTTTGGTTGGTATGGCAACTCTGCCCCTTCCTGTAATAAAGTAACCTTAAAAATGGTGCATCCATTAGCAGGCTCCAGCTGTGTTTACTGTACCACACTCTATTGGCAGGGGGTGGGACAGGGGCTGCTTTTGTGTCTAGCAGAGCAATTTGACTCAGTAATCAAGAATTCAAAGAGACCACATTAGACCAAGGTTGAAATTGTGTTCATTGCCAGATTGTTTTTAAGAGAAATACACAAGTTGCTGGCTATTTCCCTTAAAGCTTTATTTAATTTTGATCCTGCTTATTTGACATTTGTCTATAGGATTCTCTCTCCCCCTTTCCCCCTCTCTTCCTGCGCCATAATATGATCACCTAAGGAAGTTGACCTACAGATGTCCTAGGCTGGTCTTGTGGTGACTTGGATGAGGCCATTAATGCAGTTGGCACCTCTATGTGCTTTGAAATGCATTTGATGATGCCTTTGCAAGCCTCAAAAACACACCTTTTAAAACAGACTTTTTACTTGGTGTTAATGGTTTTTAATATTTGCTTTTCAGATTTCAGGTTTTAATTTTGGTTTCAATGTTTTTATTGTAAATCACTGAGAGAACTTTGAAGTTACGGTAATTACTGCCTCAATGAGTTTACTAAAGAAAATAAAATAGTAAAATGCCTTGCAAGCAACTTACTAAAATGACATAAAAGTACAATATTTGTGGGATGTTATACCAGCTCCGTTAGTCTTCTGTAACTAAATACTGTGTAGATGTTTCTAACTACATTATCCTCTGATATCTTAGCCACATAGATGGGAAATTATGGGAATATCAATCTAACACAACCTTAAGTTTCAATGGTGTAAAAATGTGTTCTAACATACAGTATAGTAATATAGTAATGTTTGATTATTTACCAAAATCAGTCTAAGTTTCATTTGTGCAGGCTTTTTCAAACTTTGTTCCTTGGAGTCTTAGGGTTCTGCATGAATTTGATGGGATTCTGTGAGAGATTACGGACAAAAGAAAAAAGCCAATATTCTGTCACTGGAGCTTTACTTCTTGAAAAGGGATTCAGGGACTCTGATATTTTTTTAACAGGTTCCACAGTTCAAAAAAGTTTGAAAACTCCTCTGTAAATGTAGTTCATACTTGTCTAACCCTTTTCTTTATTGAAATTAATTTAACCTTCACAAAGTTTTGAATCTGTATTTCTTTAGTATTTCTTCTTGACTTTTGGGGCTAGAGGGCATTACTGAAATTTTGAGAACTTGTCTTGCGTGTTTTTACAAAATGATTATTGTGATGGGGCTTGCCTATTCACAAAATGGCCATAAGTGTAGATGCGACTATTCACAAAACACCAATTTTTACCAGAAGACAAACTACTCTGGATACTTGTCACTACTCTCTCTATCCTCAATACTTTTATTTGCTTTTTTATCTGTGCCAGTCAATACATTTCCAAAGATAACATTAGGTCCATTTTTATTCTCTAAGAATGCCTGTGAGATCCAAGTGTGGATTAGGAATTTCTTTGAAAAACAGATGGAAGCTGACATTTGCTTTGGAATGCACCAGCTTTTCATTTAATATTTATTGTCATTTTTAAAAAGGCCATTAAAAACTAAGGGGAGAGGTGCAGAAAGGTGCCAGATACCATAATTTTATCTGTTTAATTTTGGTTTTAGTGGAATGCCATTGTGGTTTATACATCATGGTTTATGGCTTATAATAAGAAATAGGTAACCTGAGCCTGCAACTCTCCTGTTGTAACCAAGATTTATTTTGCTTTCTCCCTCCTTCAGATCAGCTCTAGGATAATAGTCTTTTAGAACATTTTGCCCATAGCCTCAAAGTAATGAACTGCATAAATCCTGTGCTAACCCTCTTGCATGTGGGGAAAGTATAATGAGAAATTATCTTATTAAACTAATGAAACCAAATTTCTAGATGTAAAAAGGAGTTACTGAGAAATGGGGAATATGGGACCACAAGGGAAGGAAACAATTACAGAGTATTCTTATTACACTCAATACAATCATTGTAGCTAAATTAGGTTTATGGTTACTTGCTTGACATCAGCACTTGTTCAGAATTCATTTTAGAAAAAAATGTAAGATTATCTGGGTTTCCTGTCTGAATGCTGTCAGGCAGCCCCTCTTTGCTACTTCTCTTTTCTTTTTTGCTTTCTCCCTCGTACTTTCATGTTCTCTTACCCTCAGTTATGAAGGATACAGTTAATTCACAGTATCCTCCAGAATTTCCTGAAGAAATTCCTTTTCCTGAACCTTCCTGCGCATACCCTAAGATCATCTTCAGAGCGCCTGCTGTGGGTGACCTCCCAAGATGAGGTGACTTTGGAATACGCTCCCCAGTGGGGTAGACTTACTATTCTCTGCAATAGTAGGAAAGGTCATTTTTGTTCTCCCAGGCCTTTGCTGCTGTGAATTTTTAACGTTCTACTGTTATTATCTCTTTATTGCCTTTTGTTTCTTATTTCTTTCTGCATATTTTACCTAATTGTAATGTACATTTTATCTGATGTAAATTAGTGTTTTAATCCATTTTGGTTTTTGTTTTAAATAATAAATGGTATATTGTTATTTTAAATAAAGAAATTAACTGAATTTGGAGAAGCGGATTGTTGTTTTGCCTAATCTAGCAAAATGTTCCACCTGTAATATCATAGGTCTACCCAGCAAATTCTAAAAATGTCCTAAATTTTCCTAGACTTTCCTAAAAGCCCTATGGATGAATGATAAAAATGCATACTAAATTTCATCAATTGTACAAAAAATTACATTTATTCAGGCTACTCAGTGTGGGAGACACTTTACCAGATATTTTTGATGGCCTTATTGTGCCATAATCCACATGGCCACTTACAATTTAATAATTCTATATGTATGTACATATGTTCGTGTGTGTGTGTGTATGCACATTAAATTGTGGGTATTGACTGACTACTCAGCACTGTATGTAACTCTTGAGCTAAAAAGGTTGCTGTCCATTAAATTAGATGGTGAAAAGTGAAATAAAACTACATTTATCTGTGTATTGATGACACTTCAACCCAAGCCTCCAAATCACTTCTTACAATGCTTTCATGTGAATCATAAAAACCAGGGAAGAGGTGGCACCACAATAATTAATGCTCAAGGATTCAAATAAAAATCATCTGGAGCACTTCTAAGGGGTTTTGACAAGAAGCGCTGACAGCAGGAAGGGTCCTGTATTCAGTGGCACTGAAAACCAGTATGAGAGCAAGGAAAACCAACCATATTTAATAATAAATAAAACCATACAAATTTAAGAAATAAATATAGAACTCATATATTACTTGTGTAAATCATCTATTGGTAATGAAGAAAATTGGACTAGATCTAAATAATGATCAAACATAACATACTAAGCTATGTCTGGCTTAATCATGGGTTGTCAACCAAGCCACAATTGGCTGACTTCACACTTTGAATTACTTAAACCATTACTTACAAACCACAATGGAAAGATTCACACAGTACACACAATGACAGAGTATTTGTTTTTGGCTGTGTGTGTAAAGTGAACCTGGCAATTCAGTATCATCCAAAGGTGCCTAAAACTGATATTGTTCTAAGTTTTTGTTCAGAAATGGCTAGCTACTTTATCTAATTGCTCCCCTTGTATTTGGTTTTCTTTACCCTCTCAGTGCTCCTGTCTGCCCTGAAGGAAATTAAGATCCTTGCCTAACTCATCCGTCAGACTCCCCCCCCCCCACACTCCACCGCCGCCCACCTCCACCGGTGCCCGCTGGTGGATTGACGTATCACAGTGCAATAAGCTTTGTCAACAGGTGACTCCAACAATCTGTATAAAGACTGCTCCGCGAGACTGAGCTACATTTCAGAACCATGGAGAGCTCCCGCCTATTCGCCCTGCTAGGAGCCGCTTTATTGTTGCTGGTGGGAGCCCACGGTCAGGAAGAAGGCGAGCTTCAACCCCGAGCCTTGGATCTCTATTCCACCATGGAGGATACGTCCCACGAGAAGGAGCTGGTATGTTTTCCAGCGAGAAAGCATGTGAATGGGCGGGGGGCTGTAAGTGGTCTCGGGAGCTTCCTTTACAATTTTCCAGTGTTAGTCTTAAACTGACTGGCTATTCAGTCCTCACCATCTGCTTCAAATCACATCAGATGCAGCCTTTGGAAAACTTAAAGCCATTCCAGGAGGGTGATATGCCGAATAGGAAGGAAAGTTAGAGGTGAATAGAAGCTTGAGAAGTAGGAGAGCTAAATGAGAGCATCAGGTCTACCACTTCTTAATGCCCACCTTTCTCAATAGGCTGTGCAAAGCTGGTCCAGCTTTCTCTTAGGCTGAGAGGTGCTTGCTTCCCACTCTGTATCCAGCCTCCTCAGGCTGCTTGATCGATTTACTGATAGGATGGTTTGTGTGTCTGCAGATTGAAGCACTGCAGGAAGTCCTGGAGAAGCTGAAAAGCAAACGGCTCCCACATTATGAGAAGAAGTATGGTCAAGTCCCCATGGTGAGTGGTTTCTGATTCCAACTCACAGAAGTTATTTTTAAAATAGCACATTCCCTGGAACAGAGCTAGGTTGGTGGGGAGTCAACACTAGGAGTCTGATTGAGAAAACAACTTTTCCCTAGTAAAACATCAATAAGAGTGAAAGTTTTCACCCCATTGTCTTTTTAAATCTCCAGATTATCAACATAGGGCTTGCATGTTGTGTTTTCCCTCACATCAAGCCTTTGGTGTCCTGCTTGAAATGACTGAAATATCACTTTAATGGATGCTCTGTTCCCTTCTTTCCCTTTCTATCTAATATCCTAAGGCTGCAAATATATATCCAGTTTCTTGGGGGTAAATCCCACGCACTGGATTATATTGCAAATATCTCTGCTTGGAAGGAATTTCAGTGAGGCTTAATCTGTCCCAAATATGGTAATGCATATTGATGCACATTTATTTGAGAGGAAGTTTATCTAAATGAAATAAAACTTACTTCTAGTAATCACACCTAGATTTCTACACTTGGAACATTTGTATTTGCAGATGTTTTATGCTATTACTTAAAATATGGTTCTGAAACTAAACTAAAAGAAAACAGCCTAAATGAAACACTGGCCATTCATTTCCAGAATGAACTAGACTCCCTTCCTCCAATTACTTTTTTCTCAATTAAAATATTAGAAGATAGAGTTCTAGTTTACTCTGAAACCCATCACTCTATAACAAAGCTGAAGAGGAAGACAAATCTTATTATCAGTGTATGTTTATATTAGTGGAGTTGTAGGTTTTGGTGTCTCTTATTTTTAATTTTTGGCAAAAAAAAATCTATATCTTGATTAAAAAGATAATTGATGACATTCAACTCTGATCGTAATTTATTTTTTAAAAAAGAAATATTTCTAGACATATTGCTTGTGAGCTTTTTGATGAGGTCTAGAGATGTGATGTTTTAAGTGATTTTTATAAAATTTCCAATACTGATACAGAAAGTTAAACTAAATCTTTCTTCTCATTCATTCATCTGATCTGTTACAATATAGGAATAGTTGAATTTCAGTCCTTAAAAATCAGATGTGGAAATGCACCTGTGGTTTCTCTCTTGATCTAACTGTTGGTTGCTGTTAATAACAGTGTGATGCAGGAGAGCAGTGCGCAGTGAGAAAAGGTGCCAGGATTGGAAAGCTCTGTGACTGTCCCAGAGGAACATCTTGCAATACTTTTCTCTTGAAGTGCTTGTAAAGAAAAGTCCCTCCCCCAACCTCTGGAGAGCAGAGAAAAGAGCCAGTTGCCTTGTCTGAAGAATTAATCCTGAGATGTGGATGCAGGTGGGTGGGGTGGAGAATGGTCTGCATTCATCACATACAAAGAAGTGGGTGGGGGGAGGGAAACCAGTGTAAGGGTGATGTGAACTGTTGCTTTTAGGATTTCTTCTGCCGTTTCTTCTTGCCATTAGTTTCCTTCTTTACTCCTCTCCTATTTTTTTCCCCATATGTGTACATCAGTGTGCAAAGAATGAATTGATATTTTCAGAACTGTATTTTTGAATGTAGATGGTCTTCATGAAAATTAGCTCTAGAAAATTCATTAATCTACTTCCCCTGAAATACAAATACAGGAAGAAATTAGAGGACAAATAGAGGGGTTCATCAAATTAACAATACATAGGAATGATTAAAAGACAAACAAATATTTCAAAAATAAAATGCAAATATCCATTTCACAACAGGTATACATGTGTATACCAACTGTAAGTAAACAGTGGCACATTCCAAAAATACCTTACTAAACAACTCTTTCATCTCAGTTTGGTAGTAACTTCAACTCAGTATCTCCAGCTTCCTCGGGCAGTAATATTTTTGAAATATATAACAGAGGAAGCCACCTAAATCCTGTCTGCTAGGATCTTTTGAGACTAAGATGGAAAGAAAAACTAGGAATCTTTTTCCTTGGCAAAATATGTAATGGAATTCCTGATGTTTCTATCTGAAAAAGCAACATCATAATATGTAATTATAACTGTAATTCAAGTATGTGTCAATAGTGACAGCCTGATCAAGTCATCAGTAGATGTCTGCTTCTTGGTTGCTAAGTAGAAAAATATGAGACAAGACTATGTTGACATTATACTTGGCTGATTAGTATACATATTCAAGGATATTGCAAGGACCTACTTCAAATAAATTACAATTTCTGAATGTTCATCAACAGTTTTATCTATTAAAAAGCATTTATATTAGATCACTGATCACTGCCCATATAGCATTGTTTTGGGGCCAGTGTAAAAATCAGTGCTTCCAAGCAACATCATTGTTATCTAATTCCTATGTTAAGAGTTGGTCAGGATTGAGAAGAATTTGGCTGGGCATCAGAAACTCCAAACACATAAGAAATGAGTCATGAAAGCTATGAGGAGCCCAAGAACTCCCATCTTCTAAAGTTGCTTAAAGTGATGAAATATAAAACAGTTTCAGTTTTGAGATACTATTTCCCATAATCTGACACTGAAGAAAGGTATAAACATGTACCACATAAAATGCTTTTTCCTTTGAGACAATAACCATTTATTTATGTATACAATTCAACTCTATTGTAATGGGTTCAAGCAACTTAAGGCAGAGTTATATCAGTTCACATTTTACAGATATGCATATGTCAAACTGTGAGAATGGATATCTATAATGGAAAGATTCTAAGAATTCTTAAATAAAGCACATAAATCTGTTACTTCTATAACAATGTATAGCTCAAGCTTCCAAATATTTTTCAATAATGTCCTATTGTCTTTTACTAATTTATTTGATCATTAATAAAATCATTGTTACAAGGTTCATTTCTCATGTAGTATTTTCCTTTTCTTTTTCTTTACTATCTCCAGACCTTTTGGAATAAATATGTTTAGGCTTCTTGATTCAAGTGATTCTTTTTACCAGCACAAATATATCTATGTATGGACATGTGAATGGCAATGTTAAAACTGTGACAAGGTATTCATTTGATTGGACAGAAGGCAGGTTATAAATAAAAACAATAAATAAATAATTGTGGTAGTTGGGCAAGTTAGATATTTGGAGTGATCGGTGCACTGGTTTGGACATGCTTTGTCAACAAAATAAACATCATCATAGAATCACAGAGCTGGTATGGGTCATTTTGGCAATCACGTCCAACCTCGTATTTTATGCAGGAGTCTAAATTAAAGCATCCATAATAAATGGTTGACTAGCCTCTTCTTTAACACATCGATTGAAAAAGAGCCTACTAACCTTTTCCGTCTCACCAGAACAATATTTTAGGAAAATAAGGGACACGGGGAGAAGAAAGATTGGTATTAGCTCCAGAATATTGGTAGCTGAGTAGTCCTTGAGATGGATGATTCTCTTTATATTAAAGGTATAAAGGTATTCATGTGATTTAAGGGTTGCAGTCTTGTATGTTGTATGAAATTCCAAGAATTCCAGAGGCATGTAGTCAAGACAGTTTGCAGGTATTGTAAGCTGAATATGGGGACGATGTGAATCAACTATGAATGTGTGAATTAGACTTGATTTTAGCACCAAGGGCAGCATTTTTAAGCTATTTTATCTTGGCATCAAATCATAATACCTTTACATATCACAGTTATACTCCATTATCATTAGTTCTAATATGTTCTAATTTTGTATTCATTATTATTGGGAGAACTTGAACTTGAAACCTTCTCTTTCAAACAAGCCTAATAAATGTATTAACCTAATACACATTTTAAAAAGAATTCTGGGTTTGAATATAAGGATAAATTTACAGGGTGACAAAAGGGCATTCAAAAACAATCCATTTATAAGGAAAATAGTCAATTAGTCTTAAATGATCCCAGATGGACCGTGTATATATGTATTCAAGACAAGCAACACACATAGAAATTAACATAATGTACAAATTACATTATATTGATCTGGATTGGTCACAAGTGCTTAGTATTCATTTTTAAAAACCATTGAAATTATACTTCTTTTATGAACTCACCTACTAATTGGGATTAGGCTGGTCTCTCCTTTGCTGGAGTTCTTACAATGAGGAAGTTTTAGTTACCTGGTAAGTGACTGATCCAGGAGATTGTTCTCATTATCTGTGCAACCACAGAACAAATCATAGAACTATAATTCCCAATGCTCATGAATCATAAAGATTAAGCAGCTTTGGAAGTAATTTTAATATTTCAAAATTCTCATCCTTATAAATGAAAGCTTATGGATTACCTCTAAAGTTAAATGAATGTATTTATGCAATATAATTTCATTCTTCTTTCTCCACATCCCCTTCTCTCCATGAGTCTCAAATCTGCCCCTGAGAATGTCATAACTTTCCAAAGCAGATGTTGTACAGTAATGAATA